TGGATGGTCATGTATTCGTCTACTATTCAATCTGTGCAACTTACAAAGTTTCTAGAGATGATAAACCTCGAAACGTCTCCATTTCTAACTGGAATACTTTGTTGTGGCTCAAATCTCTGTCATAAAAGAGACAAAAGGTTAGGTTCATCTCCCAAGAACCCTTGAACTAGTGATTTACAATGAAAAGCACTGACTTACATGTAGATGAGAGATGACAGTGATTGAAAATCTGTGTTCCTCAGCTGGGCGATTTTGCTTCCACCAAATAAACTTTAGAGAGAGAGAAAGAGAGAAAGAAAAACCGATATTCAAATGCAATGTTTAACCTGAAATAAAAAATTCAAAAAGTTAGAACTCTTTCAGTCACAGCTATTAGACCAGCTTCCCTAAAAGGAGAAGAACCTCTAGCTCTGAATAGATCAACTGGCATGCGTCACAAGTATTTTTTCATTTTCAACCGTATAAAAAAGCACTTACACGGCTGCCATGTTGGTCCCCAAAATGTACACTAGAAAATACATGTGCTCAATTACCAAGGGGTAGAAATTTCAACGCCCAGGACCACCAACACGGGTGCCGTGTTGTGATGAAAACGTTCTACCTCAATTCGGGGTTAGACTAGCACAGTGTTGTAGCTGAGTTTCTAGCTCAGGGATACAAAACAGTGACCCTGCCAGTGTTCAGTCCAAGGTCCAAACCAGGTAGCATTAGACCAGCACACCTGGCCAGGGTAGATTCGTGACAACCTTAATCTCGACATTAAGTGCTAATGCAACAAAAATACTACTACCAGTATTGCGATTGGTTGCGCGAGCAAAAGCGAATCAGCAATCAAACGACAGGCTGAGTACACGGATCACAACATCCACCCAAGAAACGCCCGGATCTTTGAACAAGGTATAACCAACTGCCACAAGAGGCTTTGCTTGGAGTCAAGGATCTCCACCTTGGACAGCCAAGCTGTCAGCGAGAGGAAACCACTCCCTCCCGATTACGTGCCTCTAATTCAGAATTTAAAAAGACAGCGCACGGGTTTGTAACGCGAGCAGTAAAGAGCCTGTTTGCATTGTAGCTCTGATGAAGGCAGACAGAAGCCACCAAAAATTAGTTAGCATAAAAAACAGGTCGGTTAAAGAGAAAATGGGTTCAAAGTTCAGTACTAAGGAAGTACTTGATAACAACAAGAGCATCTTCCAGTTTGTAAAACATTTTCTTAAAAAAATCCTAAAAGATTCACCAACCCGATACGAATGCAAATGAGTATTCAATAAAAGGACTTTCAAGAAAGCAGCCGTCCTTTCTATTACTCTCAAACAAAATATCTTAACGACAGCTCGTAAGTTTCGCCGAGGTGTTCGTGCTTGTTTACATTGACAGTAAAAACAATTAATCTCAACAATTTTGAATTTTCCATTTTCAATTCCCCACATCCCTATTCCTCATTCTTTGTCTTAGTAAATCTGATTGTTCAAGACTTGGCGTTACTGAGAGACACAAACGTTCCTGTGTGTTACATGTAATGTGCCTTGGCTTTAACGTTACGTTGATCTTCATAGTAAGAAGCAGAAAGTTTTGCTGAAAAAAAAAACGCCAGAGGTAAGTTCCTATAATGTTACCACAATTCGCAAGTCGCTGATGCTGAACTGAACAGCAAGTGGCGACTAGAGTAAAGCAAAAACGTACAGCGACAAGCGCAATTTTAACTTGTTAACGGCTGTCTTTAATGAAAGAACTTTCAATAACGAAAACTTACATTATTAGCTCAAAACATTATTGCAAGATGTTTTATTGACAACAAAAGGCAAATATTATATAATGTCTAAGGCTTTTTGTGAAGTGGAAAAGTTCGTCATAACACATCACAGATTGAGAGCTTTTCTAATGGATATCGGCAAACCACACGCAACACCGAGTTGACCAACTCACGTGTCTTACAATCTAATACGGAGATATTCAGCAGATATTCAGCAGATATGTAGCAGACACCCAGGACCATTTTAGTAGTTCTTCGTTAAGATTTATCAACAAATGGCACTGATCCTCTACCCTGAACCGTTATTTGAAACAACATTTGCTTATTTACAATTCATCCACAATGCACTCCGTTGACGACAGGTTGTAAAATTTTTATTTTTGAAGGATGTCAAATATGAGATCACGCTAAAACCACTGGCGACTTAAAGAACCGAAATTCGGATTGTAAAGAACACTGTTTGTCTTCCTTCCTTCAAGATATAAACTGAATGGACTTCTGAATATTTCGTATTTGACGACCACCGTTAAACCGAACTCGATTTCGGCATACATTATCACTGGAAACTTTCGTTTCTTTTCTTCGAGTGATGTCTCAGTTGTGGATGTTGAGAAATGACATAATTTGTTTCAAACTGTCCCAGCAAATGTGAACATAAGAAAATTGAAGGATTTACAAAAGATGAAGATGAAACCATGCTGAGCAAATCCGTCACACGACGAACAACGTGTAAAGCTAACAACTGGGCAAAGAGATGAATGAAACCCCCTGAGGGAACTTTTCTTCTCCTGAAGTACCTTCACAAACAAAAAAAAATCCGTTTAATTGAAAACTGAAAATAAACAGAAAATAAATTGGGTATGCTCCTTAACGTGTAGAATTTCTGGGTACAGCTTCTTACTGATTTCTGTTTTGAATGTCCGAACCAGCAAAATGATTCTTTATGTGCAGGTAAAACGCCGAACCACTAAGAAGATCACAATTGTTATTCTTCATCAAGTGTGTTCTCTGGATTTCTCTGAAGTTAATAATAGAAGTGTTTATTTAAAATTTCTGTTTACACTAAGGGAACATGATTTTTTCCGAGGTTTTAATGAACAGAAATGGAAGAGGCAAGCGCGATGGAGAAAATTGATTTGCTTCAGTATATTTGCTTCTCATTTTTCTCTTCAAAGCAAGAATCAGAGCAAATTTCCCCATTAAACAACTGATATTCGATGTTCCAGCCAATGAACCCTGACAATTTATCAAATAGCAAAAATTTAAACATAATAACGTGTTGTTCTTCGTTGTGCGATGAGATAGTGGAAATTAAGAAACTTGCCATCATTATTCATAATATTACTCACAACTCGAGATTAGTGTGAATTCTAATTCTGATTCAGTTGACAGCTTTTAAATCAAAGGGTTTTAAGGAAAGTTACATCCTCAGGGCAAGACGTCTTATATCCTGTTTTATAGACAAAACAAAGAATATTGAAAAAGCTCAACTACTCACCAAGGATGGTGTTTTCTGGTGGCCAATTTGTTCTTAAGCCAAATTCGAAAATAGACAATTCTCGTGGTTATTTTCTTACAGGGGAAGAAGGAAAATGATCTTAAATTCACTGCCTGGGAGCATCCGACTGATGGTTTCGGTAAATTATCTCCTTATTTCCTTAAAAGAATTGTCATGTCGAAATTTCGCGATATCAGAAATTGAATGCCTGTTGTTCTCGCATTGATAAAAAGTATAGTCTTGGGCGCCAAAAAATGGTCAGTTATGATTTTAGAACTGGACGGAGGGCCAATAAACCAAGGTTTTCGGGCCAAGGACAACAAAGCCCTCATAAATTCGAGTAGACTCAAATTCTCCTGGAATGACCGATCAGATAAAATTCTATAGCGCCGCCTAAAATTAACCTACAGAGCTTTAAAAGCACTCCAGATAACCTAGAACAAAGCCTCGAGAGAAAACTGTCGTTGGATGCACCTGACTGGTACTGTCGTGTATATTCGATGATGAAAAAAGATAAAATTTTATTACTCAGCTATTCAGTTTGTTATGAGGGTCTCTGGGTATCTCACACTCTACCTTCAGTAGAGCGGTATTGACCATCAAGTTTCAAAGCAACGACGATCTTCCTCTTGATCGGATGAAGTGGCGTATGGAATCTACGAGTGGTTTAGTTCCCAGTAAAACACTCTTTTCCATATAATAAACTAGACTATGGTACCAGAAATCATGCGGTTACATTAACCTTAAAGAAATCTGAGCTACATGCACAGTGGTGCTAAGGATGTAAAAGTGTTACGGAGATGAATCTTTTGTTTAATTACGAACAATACAGATCATTTTAGCTTAGCCTTTATCGCGGCCGGCAATTTCGACGACAATGCATGGAATGTTTACCACAGAAAATAAAAGTGGTTGGGTACGTCTAAATCAATCTTTGTAAAAGCGAGTTCGCTGATCAAGATTGAAATGTGAATTTCCTCATTTCTTAGCCTAGCCTTCATCGCGGCCGACAATTTCGACGACAAAGCGTCGGATGTTTTCCACAGAAAATAAGTGTTTGGTTTACCTCCAAATCAATCTAATCAAGAGTAAGAAATAAATTTCTTATATGTTCTTGTATTGACAAGAGTTTACCAATTAAAACTACGACCACCATCCAGTGAATAAGATCTTCGTGATTTTCTGTTCACCAAAGCGCGAACTTGTGAACGACCGATCAAGCCATAAGTTTAAAGAAACACAGATTTAAAATCAGTTTAACAGGAACTTTCTTATAACAAAACAAACACAACTGCCATAGTCCGTTATATCATATTTTTGGTGCCATAAAATCGCTTTTCCTTTTATTGCTAGTGGTTTTAGGCGATTTGGTACGCCAAGTTGACGCGACTCTTAAAGGAAAAATAAGTTGATCGCCGAAAATCGACATGTTCACACAGCTTGAAATATTCATCAAAAACATAAAAGGGTGGCCGCATACAACCGAAGTAGACTTGGTTTTTCTCCGGAGAGTGCGACTGCAGGAGGCACCTGAAATTCAGGCTGGTAGTAAATAAAGGACGCCAAGACAATCTCAGATAGGCTGCAAAAGTTTTGTTGCCCATGGTTTGGCTTGATCCTGCGTACCGTAAAGATAACTTTTTCGCTTTTTCCTATTTCAGATCACAGCTTGAGCGCAAAGATGAATAACTCTTCTAGATTAATCTCGAGCTAATTTCGAAAATTAAAAAGCCTGCTTCTGTAAAAATAGCTAAATGCTGTTATTTCTGTGCGTATCAGAAAATTTGGTGCGCCAAGATGACGCGTCCCTAAAAGAGGAAACTCGTTTATCGTCGAAATTTGGCACGTCACCCAGCTTGAGATATGTATTCATCAAAAACAGAAATCATCAAAAACAGAGCACCCTGCGAGCAGAGTCTGTGTCGATAGCCCTAACCCCTAAGATTTTTCTAGAAGATCGACGGAAACTATGCTAGCAGGGTATAAACAGTCTGCCTTTTTTGCGAGTTTCGCGCAAAC